GCTTTGGATAATCTCTAACAGCCAATCACATTTTATTGAAAACCGTATTTGTGCGGTCTTAAAATTATAGATATATTGACGGTGAGATATAAATTAAAAAAACGATATTACATACTGTCTTTCAACATAATTTTTTATTGTAATGATTTTTGACATTTTTTTTTTCTATACAAAATTAATGCCAGGAACTCTCTCAACTTGCAACACATATACTCGTTTACAAAAGAATGAAACGAACAGTGTTGCAAGATGATTGTTTGGTGTTCCGCCAAAATTTTGTACGAAATCCTAACATCGCATTTTGAAAGTTTCAATAAATAACTTTCCAATTTCGCCGAATAAAGAAGTCTATTTTCTGACGATTATTTTAGGGCTTTGGTCTATCGATATTGAAGGGTGAAGTAAGTGTTGCCAACCTTAGACTTTTTATTTTCACGGCATATTTCTGGCATCTGCATCGGGAACAATAAATTGTTCAACATTAATTAAAGAAATATGACAAATAATATATTTACTTTGTAATAAACTCTAGTAATTAAGTATAAAATAGTTGCAGATAGCAATTATAGTATCTATGTTTAAAAACCAGGTAATATTAAATAATAATTATTTATATTAACCAATATTACTACATTTGCCAACGCAATCTATTGACAATATTCAAACGACAAAAACATGGCAAGTATGTATATTCTCATATATATATACTAGTAGTTTCCGCGACTTCGTCCGCGTGAAATTTTACTTTATTTTTCTAAAATAAAAGTAGCCTAAGTTATTCCTTATTACATCAGCTACCTGCCAAAAAAAGTCCCGTCAAAATCGGTACAGCCATTTCAGAGACTAGCCGGAACAAATAGACACGACAGACAAAAATTGTAAAAAATGTTATTTATCGTATTTATACTTGGTGTATATATCGTATTTATATTCATATGCATGTAGTAAAAAACGTTTATTTCAATATTACAAACAGATACTCCAATTTTATTTATATGCATAGATGTAGTTTTTTGTAGTTGATCAGGTATTTAAAATTAATGAGAAAAATACTATTTATGTATTTAAACAAAAAAAAAATTGATCTTAAAAAAACGTATGAACTCATTTGACTTTTTCATTTCTTTTCATTTAGGTATTTCCGCCAATCTTCCGCCGCCGAAAGTTTATGTTCTATGTATAATTAAACTTTATATTGCGATGTTATCTATACATATAAATAAAATTGGGGTGTTTGTTCTACCAAAGCGGACGAAGTCGCAGGTGCAGCTAATATTCTAATATTTGCAGTAGAGAGGGAAAACTTTCATGCAGGTTTTATTTACGGTATTTGTCACTAACGATTGTAATGCCATAACTAGAGTTCAGATAAAAAAACTACCTTCAGTAGTTTAGGTTATTCTTATACCAGAATAAAAAAAAATATTTTAAAAGGAAACTATGTAAATTTGATAAAATATGCATGTGTTAACTCGAAAAAGCGTGCGCTGTAGAAACCTTTTGATTTGCAATATGTGCTGCATTAGATATATTCTACGAGGTTCGAGGTTTCGCCTGCGATAAATTTTAATATATAAATTTCAATAAAAATACAGCCTATGTGTTATTCTGATGCATAAGCTGTATTACTGTAAAGTTTCATCAAAATACGTTCAGTATTTTTTTAATTTTCTGTTAGACCTTGGCAAGGAAAGACAACGGAAGCCACTGTTAGACTAGCTCTTACCCGAGACTCTGTATACACTTTCACCTAATATAATTCCGTTATGAGTTTTTGTTTGTAATATTATCTCACCTGTGGTTTTTGAAACAAAATAAATTCGTCCTCGTTACACAATCTATCTCCATATCAAAATTATATAAAGAATAGAATAGAATAGAATAGAAAATCATTTATTCAAATAAACTTACATTGAAGCACTTTTGTAGAAACGTGGATGTAGTTGTAAAAAGGTACCAAACTGACTGATAAACACCTTAAATATACACATACACAGACACCTATGTTTTGTGTAGATAGGTATGTAACTTCACCGCGGTAAAAGCGGTTTTAGCAAACCTTTGTTGCTAAAACAAGAGCAAAAATTGGTTAGCAACAACCACACTAAGGCCGGTCAGAAAGATTTTAATGGCGAATGGAATGGCATGTATGCTATTGGGTTCTGTAGGTATACAGTACAATTTTGTAGTAAAAATGGAAGAACAAATATATACATAGAGGATAAAATTTATAATATAACCGACTTACAAAAAAGGAAGATCCCTATTAGAATATTTTTTGATTTTGATGATTAGAAACAATTTTGATGATTCATGATTGGAGCAAATTTGAATTCCTTATTGTTACTATTTATTATTGTCGATGTATAACTCCTTAACTTATGAAGCCGGTTTTTTCGTTTCCTTGACACTCTCATAGACTATTCATGGACAATGGACGAAAAATTACGACGGCCCTAAGTTATGACCACATTATTGTTCAACTGTAGAGTCCAGCTAGAGTCAACAGCATTAGTAAAACCTACGAAATTATACAATAATTCGCATAGACCAAAAATCATAGACAGTTATGGAACATGCAACAACAAGCGCCAACGAACTGTTTGTATATCACATTTTACTTTCCAGTGATTTTGCCTACCAAATACGGACAGGCGTTAATCCATACTAATATTATAATACGAAAGTCTGACTGTATGTTTGTGCCTTTTCACATCTCAACTGATAAAAGATAGTTAATGAATTTTGATGGTGGTCCTTCGCCAGCCGTTAGTGAAGGTGGGTGCACCATTCCATTAATGAAAAAAATTGATTAACACGGTTGTCTCTTATTAAAGCTGACTAACTGTTCGGTAAAGTAACAGATCGCTGTTTGTACATAGAATATATACGACAAAAACTATTATATGGCTTATAATAGAACCAAAAACCAATTTACTTGTAGCATTTTCATTTGTTTAAACAGTTTATCTGATTTGGTTATGGTTTTCTAATGTACGAGTATAATTTTTTTGTACATTTTTCACTGATGCTTCGCTTCTATGGGTCGCAGCGTAATGTTATACAGCTTAAAGCCTTCCTCGACAAATGGACTATCCAACACGAAAATAATTTTCCAATTCGAACCAATAGTTCTTAAGACTTGCGCGTTCAAACAAACAAATTTGTCAACTTTATAATATTAGTATAGATGTAGAATATAAAAAAAAATGTATTTGTTTATGATTATTATTATATTTATTTTAACAAGAACTTATAATTTTTTATATTACACTTACATTACTGTACATTTACAATATTGCATATACTTAGCATATTTTCAGGATAAATCCGTTTAGTACTTAGATTTATAAAGCTTGCGGACCCCTACAAATAACAATAGGTTCGTAGAAATGGGGAGCCCTAAACTTGAAACTCGCATTCCAAAGGAAACGAGTTACATTTCTTCAAGGGACTGCCTAAAAAGAGGTTTTATTGTACCTATACCACCCAGGTTTTACACTTTGTAAAAGTTTGCATGTTAAAGGTACTTCAGTTTCAACTATTTTAGCAGCCTTATAAACTACTAGCTGTACCCGCGACTTCGTCCGCGTTTTATAGTGACCTTGGCCAAATTAAAAAAAATATAGCAAAAAAAAAAGCCAAAGAAAAAGTTTCATAGTTCTAACTTCAAAAATGGCGTATTTCCATACAAAATTCCTTCCCATATTTTATTTTACCCCCTTAATTTATATTTGATCATCAGCCTAAAACTAATTTTCCAGCTTCAAGCTTTAATGACGACGAAACTCTTCCATATAACCTTTCATCTCCGCTTTAATCCCTTACAACTCTTTTTTCGCATTAAAAAGTAGCCTATGTACTTTCTCATGGTCTAGAATATCTGTATACCAAATTTTATTTAAATCAGAAGTAGTTTTGACGTGAAAATGAGACAGACAGACAGACTGAGTTACTTTCGCATTTATAATATTAGTAAGTTTTGGTTGAAGAGTGATAAGACAGTGAAATTATGAGATAAGTCCTCGGGAATGCCATCGCATTGATGAGAATCAAGTGATAACGTGATGTCTGTTCTGCTGTTCAGGTATGTAGGTGTTTTTAGCTTACAGTCAGTTGGAACGACGATCTATTTGAAATTCTGATTTAAAAAAAATATGACGATCGCGACAACAATTTCTTTTTAATTTCCGAACGATCTAAACATGTATCTCATGGCTGTATATATTTTAGCCTTTAGCCTACGATCATAAGTAATAGACAAGTATATTAAACCAAGTTTTGGATCCTGCGCTAACGGGATATGATGGCGGAAAATAGTGGAGGATAATGTAATGAGGATGAAGTCAGGATAGTTAACTCGTCGTATCGAATTCACCAGAAAGGTGTAGAAAAAAAACCTGTTAAAAAAGTAGCTGGCTAAGTAAAAATTGGGGTAATGGACTATAAAAATCTTTATTTTCCTCAGATATAGCTGTCACCCGGGCTAATTAGAAGAGCTTCAATTGGAATGTCTAAGACATCCACCGTACTTTCCGGACCTTGCTCCAACAGATTACCATTTTTTTCGAAATTTCGATAACTTCTTGCAAGCGAAAAAATTCAACTCCGATGGAGCAGTCCAAAGTGCCTTCAAAGATTTTACTGATTCCCGTCCGAATGGGTTTTTTAGTAAAGGGATCAATGAACTGCCTATGACATTACCAATGTGCATACATACATAGCAATGGTACATACTTTGATTAAATAAATATATTATATTTTGAAAAAAATTGACTTTATGTTTAATGTACTCCCTTACAAAACGCCAATTTCATATGTTAGGACCTAATATATTAACAATGAGTTGATAATATTTATGTTCAACTTTAATAATAAGGCATTTCGGATCTTACATCTTTGCCATAAAAAACAAAAGAAAAAAGTCTTTAAAAAGTTGTGGCGGAGTTTGATACATATTCTAGAGATGTACGTGAGAATTTATGATCAGTCGTGACTTGACCGCAGTCTTGTGTGGTCGTACGCGGTTCTAAGTGTTAGTGTACGTTTGTGAAATGCGGTGGGTTTTGTTAATTAGTTTCTCGTTGACCACTACGTGTTACGGGAATGGTGAGTATATTATATATATTTATAATTATAAACATTGGAATTTATTTACATATAATTATTGCAAGGATTAAAAGATTAACTTATATTAATTGTGAATAGAGCTGAAAATTTCATCACCCCAATATTTTCTAAGAAACTAACATTCAGAATAGTTTTAAATGAGAATTATCATTGGAGTGTATCTGGCAAGTGTTTTTAATACCTAATTCTATAGCGGTAGCTAATATTTCTTTTTAAACACAATATTTCTTTTTATATTAATTAATGAGGTAGATTTTACAAAAGTCGTCTTTGTGGGGGTAAGCTGTATCAGTTGTAAGGGCATGGCAGTGAAATTACTGAAGCATGGACTTTTTAGCCAGTAATGGCAGTGCAAGAGGTGTACCCACTATGACCAGCATAATGACGATGTGATATCGGTTCAGTTCATGTCTATAGATGACTAGCTGTCAGTTTCACCTGCATGAAATATAAACCCTATGAATTTTTCTCATGTATGAGCTATTGTAAAGTTTAATTAAAATCCATTCAGTAGTTTTTATGTGAAAGCATAACAAACATACGTCCATTCATCCACACGCACAAACTTCAAATTTTTCACATAATGGAATGGTGTCACCAGTGGAGGATGATAAGATGGACATGAGGTCAGGTGAGTTAGGCCATCGTAGCAAATTTACCACGATAGTTTCTATGGGAAACCGCGTGGAGGTCAACCTGATATAGTACATTGTTTTTTTTTTATGGATGATAATGGAATGATGTACCTGCCTGTGCTAACGGTTTTCGCTGGCGGGGCACCAGTGGAGGATGATAGGATGAACATGAAGTCAGATTAGTTAGCCCAACGTGATAAATTCACCGGGAATGTATCACGATGGTTTCCAGGGGGAACCGCGTGGAGGTCGATCTGACATGGTACATTGCTAGCAATGGGATCATTAGTCCACATTACTAACAATACCCTTCCCTTCACGTTTGATGGTTGTCACTCACCATTAGGTCGGCCGTTAGAATATTTATCTACCAAAAAACCCCTCAAGGCTATAAATTCTAGGGATAAGTAGCATTATCAACTATCCACGTTGTAGTGAACATAGACATTGGTATGTTCGCTCTTTATTAATAACTAGCTGTTCCCGCGACTTCGTCCGCGTGGAATTTAAATTATCTAAAGTATCCTAAGTTACTCGTAATTACATCAGCTACCTGCCAAAACAGGTCCCGTCAAAATCGGTCCAGCCATTTCAGAGATTAGCCGGAACAAACATTATAAAAAGTTTTATTTTGCCGTATGTACCGTATTTATATTCATATGCATGTAGTAAAAAACGGTTATTTTATCCAATTTTATTTATATGTATAGATATTTGAATCTAAACTGGCTTACGCAATCTTTTGTGACTTCTATTATCGGTATATTCATCACCGGCGAATTAGTTACAAATGTAAATTAACATAAAGCTTTTGTTATCTACGAGATTCAAACAGACGACCTTTGATAGTTATACCGTCTTAAACAAAATCTACTCCAAACACTCGAGAAAAACCCACTTTTTGTAACCAATCGTTCAAATAAAAATAGTTATAAAATCGCCGTGTTAAGGATTGAGTTCTGAAGTAACAAACATAATTAATGTTAAATAGGCGGAAGAGGTCTCAATTTAGGTGAAATTGAGACCTCTTCCGCCTATTTTGGAGTCGGTTCAAAACTATAAGTCAACTTTTAAACAAAATTTACATGTAACCTACCTGCTAAATGATAAAAAAAGAAATGTATTTTTACATTTAAAAAATATTTTTTAGTATTTTTCTTTATTTTTTAAATATGTTTCAAATACATTTGAAACAACAGTGCGTATTGTATGTATTTTTGCGTGTATAAATTAAACAAACACTTACATATTATTTTCCACTTCGGTCGATCGACGTCCTATTGAAACGGGAATCGAAATTACGACGGCCTGAGCCGAGGTTCCCAATGGCTTGGGATTCCCAAGTGGTGCCTTCAAATTAAAGTCAGGTAGGCATAATCGTCAAGGAGTTGGCCTTCAGCCGCTCCATAAGTCCTTCCGCGGGTTTGGACTGTCATATGCACTCGCCCCGTATCGTCCGGTGAAGATGTAAAAGCAAGCTGCGGCCAAGAGCTTAGAGTAGTTTGTTTGTGTTAGTAATTACCTTTTTAATTACAACGAAATCAAATCCTCGGAACGGTGAGGTCGCTCCGAGAAGCCTGCGAAGACACCAGGAGACTTCTGCGCTTCTGGGAGGAGCTTGGCTGGCTACGCTAGTAGCCTGGCTCTACACGCACAACGGCCCGAATGAGAGGCCAATTGCGGAAAATGGAGTCCAAGCTACACTACACACTACACTACTACCTTTTGAATTCGCTTTACATAGTATAAAACAAAGTGACCGCCGTTGTCTGTTCGCGTGTATCTACTTAATTACGCAAGCGTGCAGTTTTCAGCAATAGATAGAGTGATTAAAGAAGAATGTTTACAGGTATAATATGTGCGTGTTATAGTATAGAACTAGCAGGGATATTCAAAGATTTGTACTGCATCTGTTCGAAACCTGGACGGATTGTTAGTAATACATAAAAAGATTGATTAATTTAAGGTTTCTTCACTCCAGGTGTCTCAGGCGTCCATAGGCTACGGTAACCATTTACTATGAAATGGGCCATATGCTGGTTTGCCAACATCGTAGCATAAAAAAAGGTTGAAATTTTGCACTAAATCTACGTGCAATAGTGCATTCAATATACATTTTAAAAATATATAAAAACAACCTATGACAGCAACAAAAACTAAGTTGCTCTGGTGACAGAGCGCAGTAGTTATAATTGTTTTCAATTTCCTTAAAACATTTATACATTTTTCACTTCTTACATGAAAATAATAATTATTATTATCATTTATACATATTTTCTTTCCTATTTATTTGTAGTATTCATATATTTCAAATTAAACTATAATATCTCTGTATTTATAAAGTTCTGGTAGATACTCTAACTGTAATTCCTACTTTCAACTTCCTTTATTTATTTTCCCTAGCTGAAAATCAGTGTTTTGCTCCATGAGCGATTCTCGACACTGATCTTCCGTCCAATTAAAACGGAGATCGATATTACGACGGCCTGAGCCGAGGTTCGAACCCCTCAGACTAATCGTATTTGTCAGGCGGGAGTTAGCTTTCAGCCGCTCCATAAGTCCTTCCGCGGGTTTGGAGTGCCGTCTGCACTCGCCACCTATCGTCCCAGCTAAAAGGCCAGCTGCGGCCAACGGTATTAGAGTACTCCGAAAAGAGAAAACTGAGCTATGTACCAGTTTCGTGCAGCTATAGCGCACACATGCAGGTTTACCCTTACTCATCCGTCATACTCGTGAACGAGTGCTGCTTGTAGGGACTGGTCTGCTCTTATCACTACGACTGATTTAATCTTTTTGTGTTTTTATATTTGTGCCTAAATAAATTAGTGCTGGTTGGTAGTTTGTATTCACACGTTTCGACTTGTAAAATGTGAACTTACAAGGATTGTTTGAAAGAGCAACACACAATATTCTTGTTTATTCTTTTTGTGAAGAGACAGCTTTCCGAATAAGCGGTAGATTTAAAAAAAAATGTTGACTATTCAAAAGTGCTTAAATTAATTTTATTTGAATAAATGATTTTTTATTCTATTCTATTCTATTCTACTGGATTGTTACTTGTCATGTAATGTTATAATTGTTGGTCAAACAGGCTCCTATTTCTCTGGTATTGAGTCTACACAACGGTGTAGTTAGACGCTTTCCAGATCTGGATATATTTACTAGTAGTTTGCTGGAGTTTCTTATGGTGGCAGTAGATTATTTTATGTAATACTAGCTACTCGCCCCGGCTTCGCACGGGTGTATATGTATTATACATATAAACATTCCTCTTGAATCACTCTATCTATTAAAAAAACCGCTTCAAAATCCGTTGCGTAGTTTTAAAGATTTAAGCAAACATAAGGAAGGACAGACAGCGACAGCGACTTTGTTTTTTACTAGAGTTGCCAACCGTCCTGTTTTCGCAGGACTTGTCCTAGTTTTTGAAGTGTCCTGGAAAGTCCTGAATAATCATTTGGCAGCGTACTATGTTTTTAAAATGCATATTTTAAAAACATAGCGCCTCTTAATTACTGATTGTCAACAGTATAATATTATCAAATACTTTTTATTAAAAACCTAATTATATTCATTACTTGAATTTTACTACATCTTAATATAACTATTGCAAGAATATTACTGCGTTCTGTTTTTAAACTGGATAGTCCTGGTTATTTGAACTTGCAATACTGGTTTTTTTAATTTGGGCTTGGCAACCCTATTTTATACTATGTAATGATGTAAAATTAACATTTTTTTCGTTGTGTAATTAGTGTATTAGTATCTAGTGTTTATATGTATACAATCTTCCTAAGTGGGCATATCTATTCTATTTTTATCCATAAAGTGTTTGTATGTCATTGCAGGTGACTGTACAAGTATTCCCAAAGTCTAGACATTAGACATATAAATAACATTTAATTGTCTGTCTGTCCGTCTGTGATTTAAACGCAATTATTCGCGGTTCTTTTAATCTGTAATGCCAATTAATCTGTCTGTCGAGATTATTCTCGGAAACGAATGTCACATCCCATCTAATTATATCTGGTTGTCACATTGGATACCATGACAAGTATGAACCCATCATCATCTGCTTCTTCCTTATCCCATTTATTTGGGGTCGGCGTTATATGGTTTTCTCTTCATTCATGCCTGTTCGCAGTCATCTCGTTATTTACTTTTCTAACCATATCATCTTTCACATATTCATATGTAACACCTTCCTTAAAATATTAACTTCGTTCCTAGGCACTTTATGCCCATACCACGACGGCCTCGGTGTTCTAGCGGTTTAGCAAACAGCTTTACTTAGGATAGCCGCGGGTTCGATTCCTCGTACGGTAAAAACATTTATACTTTACA